TTTGGATAGAGACCAAGAGTCGGGACTCCATGGAGATTTAGTACAGAGAAGCCCGTAGCCGTTGGCTAACCTTCTACTCCTTACACGAAGTCGTCCTCTGGCTTTTACCTGGCTTGTGGACCACGGCCAGCATGCACACGAATTTTAAGATTTACAGGGTAGGTGCTTCTGCACATTGCTTTCCTGTGGACATCTACCGTGAGACAGAGATTGCCAGCCCCGCTGGGAGGCTGAGAAACCAGGCGAGGATGGAGAAGGGACAATCCTAACATCATAGCATCAAACACCAGGAATGACACATTATCGGCTCCCCTCTGCCACTTTCCAAGATGGTCAGAACCCCTCAGGGAGAATAGATAAAGATCAGACTACAGGGATTGAGACTGAGGGCGGTATAGAGGAAGCTGGTTTTCAGAAAATGCTATCGTGTCTGTGAGCCTGAGGCCCAGCCTGGGGACAGGCAGAAGTCTAGATTGCCTAACCACATAGTTCACTAATCCCCTGTGGTGCACATTCTTAGAGTCGTGCTTTTCAACCCAATAGCTCACCCTGTCTGCAGCGTCAGACTCCCCGTCTCCTGGGGTAGAAAGGTCAGTTCTCAGTTTGTCCTCGTTGCTTAGACAGGAACTCTGAGACTCGTTGGCATTCGACACAGCTTGTTTTTATTTAATCTCTTCTTGGAAGAGGTGTAGAGAATAAGATATTTGGTATACTGTGCTGAATTTTAAAACTACAATGTACTGCGAAAAACCTAAACGGCACGGGGGGGGGGGAGAGGGGGTGTTTTCACTGACTCCATTTTTGGGACTCAGGGTGTTTTTTTTTACTTTCAGTCTTCCTTCTGGAGAGGATGCCAATGCCAACCCTTCTCATCCTGCATGTCTTAGCCCAAATTTCAGTTCCTGTGGGTCCTCTTGGACTGTCTTGTGTAGCCCACTTCCCTGTAACCGTTTACTTCACTACAGCTGCTCAGTTTCAGGGTGCTATTTTACCCTTCTCACACCCTTGATCTGTTTATTTATCATCTGCCTCCTTACCTTAGTTAGGGCTTCTGCTGTTGTAAGAGACATTATGACCATGCCAGTTCTAATAAAGGAAAACATTTAATTAAGGTGACTTGCTTACAGTTCAGAAGTTTAGTCCATTATCATCATGGCAGGAAGCAAGGCAGCATGCAAGCAGACACAGTGATGGAGAAGGAGCTGAGGGTCTTAGATCTTGACTCACAGGCAGCAGGAAGTGGTCTGAGACACACTGGGTGTGCCTTGAGCTTGTAAGAGACTGCAAAGCCCACCTCCACAGTGACACATTTCCTCCAACAAGGCCACACCTACTCCGACAAAATCAAAACAAATAGTGTCACTCCCTATGAGCTTCTGGGAGCTAATTACGTTCAAACCACCATACTCCTGCATTCAAGATGAGAAGGCCACAATAACTGATACACTGTTAGCTAGATAAAAGCAGACACTCCAATATGTGTCAAATGTCATAGACTCTGTCTCTGCTTTACAATAAGAGCTTAAGAAACCACGGGCCTGAAAGTAAAGCAGACAGGTGTGACTTTCCATCTTCCCAGTTTGGGAGATGATGTGGCTTCTCTAAAGCTTTCACTCCCACAGGCCACTCAATGGTAGTTACTCTTGATTTTCACATTTTGTTAGCCCAACAGTCTAAAATCCCAATGACAAGTCCTCTGTCATCTACCACCCATAGGCTTTGGGATTCACCCTGCCCCCCCACCCCCCAGTCTCCTTTATTTTCTGTTCCTGTAGAATCATAAAGACTCCATCTTCTGTGTCCCCCTCTGTACTGAGCTCTTGGGGGACAGAGTATCCAGTAGGATATGTGGTGGACTTGTAGAATAAATGCATGGTGTGACCGCCATACATCTAGGAATATTCCAGGAATATTTAGAATAAAATTCTTTCTTTTTAGCACAACAGAGGCTAGAGATACAGCTCAGCACTAAAGGGTTTATTCTTGCACCAAAAATCAGGTGGCTCAGAACAAACACACATGCAAACACACACATACCCACACACAATTAGAAGTAACATAAATCTTAAAAATTGAAATAAAATGAAAGAATATTAAATATTTGAATTAGAGCTAAGACTGGTGACAGAGTCCTTGGGAGGCCAAGGCAGGAGGATTGAGAAAGTTCCAGGCCTGCCTTGGCTAGCTACATAAAGAAATCAATGCCAGCCTAGACAACCTAGTGAGACTGTGTCTTGAACTGTATTAGGAAACAACGAGAAACAACATATAATCATGAACTGAATAATATCTAATCAAGTGATAAGGTATGAAGGGTATGTATGCTATAGGGGAAAGGGGGTCAGCGGGGAGGTTTCTAGGGCCAGGCAGACCTTGTAGATGAGGTAACAGGACAGGAATATAGGCAGCCACTCACAACTGCCTTAGCTCTGAAGCAATTGGTCAAAACCTTCCTAAAGCTGAGGCCCTTTAATACAGCTCCTCATGTTGTGGTTTATGGCCCTAGCCATAAAACTATTTCCATTGCTACTTCCACTTCCTAACTATAATTTTGCTACTGTTATGAATCATAATGCAAATATCTGATATGTAGGCTATCTGACATGTGACACCTGTGAAAGGGCCCTCTGACCACCATTGGGGATATGACCCACAGGTTGAGAACTGCTGCGAGCCACCTCAGCTCCAGTTCCTTGTTGCTTACCATTCTGGGTAACAGGTCTGATGGGTTTATATCCTTAGGTTTCTTCAATAAATCTGATAATTTCAATTATTATTAAATAATTATTTGAGATGAATAAAGCCTTTATTGCAGCCTTTGTACAACCTCTGACCTAATGATCTAGCTGGCCAGATGGAGGTTGAGAGCTAGACATTCATTAATTAAAAAAAAAATCTACTGGCTATCAAAGGTATCACGTGTTGACTTGCTGATTGCCTCATAAAACCAGGACATTACTTATTTTTCTTTCTTTCTTTCTTTTTTTTCTTTCTTTCTTTCTTTCTCTCTTTCTCTATGTGTGTGTGTGTGAGAGAGAGAGACAGAGAGAGAGAGGTGTGTCTGTGTGTGTGTGTGTGTGTGTGTGTGTGTGTGTGTGTGTGTGTGAGAGAGAGAGAGAGAGAGAGAGAGAGAGAGAGAGAGAGAGAGAGAGAGANTGTGTGTGTGTGTGTGTGTGTGTGTGTGTGTGTGTGTGAGAGAGAGAGAGAGAGAGAGAGAGAGAGAGAGAGAGAGAGAGAGAGAGAGAGAATCAAATCCAGGGCTTCCCACATTCTAGGCAAATGTTAAACTATATCTAGCCCTTAGGAAGCAATTCTTGGTCTATGGCAGAGTTCCCCTCCACCACCTTCTAAACACTTATTAACTGAATGACTGCTAAGTAAAATGATGTGTTGTCTGTTACCTCTGGACTTTACAGTTGGCCAGCTGAACAGCTGAACCACTACTGTGATAATAAGAGAACAAGAGTCAAGGAAGTCCAGCTCTCTCCCTCATTAGGACTTGACCCCAGGGTGCAGGCTGCTGTCTACTATGTAACTGTTCTCCTCAGTAGATTCAATCTCCAGCCAGCCTATCCAATGTCAACCAGGGACAAACTGGCCCCACAGTATCTGACCATAGACTCCCTATTCAGCAGACAAGTTCTAAGTGGAACCCTCGCCTCTCTGTGCTCACATGGTAGGAACAGGGGTCCCTGGATCATGTTTTGCAAAGGTCCAGGAACTGTTCTCCTAACCTCATCTATCTGCAGTCAGTCAGAAAATATTGAAATTAAAGCTTCAGGATCCACACAAATCTCTCCTTTGGTCTAGCGCACACTGTGATCTTAGGCTTGCCCAAGAACTAACTTCCATCACAGCCCTGACAATATCGATTGATCTGGCTTAAAGGTACATAAGTAGATTGATTTTTGTTTCCCCCTCTCAAACTAAAAAGGATCACAGCAGTGTTAGTATATTCCGGTTTCCACATGCTGCTGTACACTGAATGAATAAATAATAACGTTACTTGGAAAACTTTGCTCGATGGAAAACAAGGTGCTGGTCTTGAATTGCACTGTGAACTGGTTTGGGTGCTTCCTTAGCTTGTCCATTGTGAGTGGCACTAAGAATTCTACACTATCCATTCTGACCCATTATTTCAAAAAAAAAAAAAAAAAAGCAAAGGTTACTTAGAAGTTTAGGTCTGGGGTACAGAAATGAACCCCGCAGAGGAGAAAGTATCCTCTTGGGGAGGTTACTAAGCAACAGGGCCGTGACTTCCCTCTAAATCAGAGGGGAAGGAAACATATTCGCCAGGAGCCTTTGCTAATTTGTTTCCAATTTAAGGACAATTAGGCAATTCTACACTCCCACCCAGCTTCTGCAGGTTTTCTCTCACAACTAGACAAAAAATAAAAATAAATAAAAAAAATCTGGAAACAAAGAAGTCTATGAAATTAACTTTGGCTTCACTTGAAGGAACACCTAATAATCATCACGGGCCTTGGGAGTCAGCCCATAACTGTTTCATACTGCTTCCTCTTTTTGAAAACAAAACAAGACAAATATGTTTTGTTTTCTACTGTCCCAAAATATTACTTGTTCTGGAAACACGTCTTAGCTGAGGCGTTTCCATAGCTGTTGCAGCATAGAATCCTTTAGGTCATAAATATGTTCTGCATAAGAAAAGGCAGTCCCTCCCTCTTTAGATACTCCACGTAAGAAGAAATGGAAGGCGACGAGGAAGAAACACCAAATTCTTCTGGCCCCTCGCATTTCGCATTTTACTTCCAGATGGCATTTAATTTCCAAGTTCTCAGAACCCCAACAGGAAAACAGGCGGACTTGGGCGGTGCAGGAAGCCGGCTCCCAAGGTGAGTAGACTAGCTACCAGCGCGATTTAAACCCGCTACGGAGGGGGCGTGGCTCTGGAAGGGCGGCGCAGCTTGGGGGCGGCGCGGGGGCGGGGCTCTGGGAGGCTAAGCCCGGTGCAAGAAAGACGCGAGCTCCGGGAGCCAGCGTCTGTCTCTTTAAATGCCAAGGGCTTCGCTCCCGCCCGGCTGCCCGGAGCCGGATCTACAATCCCGTCCCTCCCGCTCCGGCGCTTGTTGCTCGCCCGGTCCGAGCGGGAGCTGCGGACCGCGGGAAGCCGAGCTACCTCCTCCTTTCCTTTTCGTGCTCCACCTTCCGGGAGATCTGCGTGAGGGGTTGCATAGCAGCGGGCGTGAACAGGCATTGCCCCCACCACCTTCATTTCTTGGGGTGCTACGCAGCCGTGCGGGGCGGGAAGGGAAGAAATGCGTCTTTCCCCGCTGCCTGGCTTCGTCCCGGTCCGCGCTGGGAGAGGAGGCACTGCGGAGCCCACACCTGCGAACTCGCCCTAGAAGTCTCAGGGTGCGGCAGGGCGCCCCTCCCGGTCCCCCAGGGCTTCCACCTCTCCGCGAGTGAGTCGGCGCAGGTAATCGGAACCCCAGGGCGGGCGCGCGGGGGAGGGGCCGGCAAGCCGCAGCGAGGACTTTGTCGCAGGTGAGCCAGGTGGGTGGCTCACCTGTCACGGCCACGCCGGGGGAGCTTCTGATTGCTAGTAGGTGCAGGCAGTGTGGGACGTCTAAGGGCTAGTTAGGACCCGGAGTGGGAGGGGAAGTTAGGAAAGAGAAGGAAATTGGAATAAAGTTTCCATTTCCTTCCCCCCCCCCTCCTGACCTGGGTTGGCAGGTAGGGCGCGGGCGGAAGCTGTAGGAACAGCTGATGCAATGCTTTGACCGGGGCCAGGTGATAGCTAGAGGCTGGGGGCAGCTGGAGTGACCATGTCTCCGGTAATCCTGACCCTAGAGCTGGAGAAACGCGAGAAAGCTCGCTCCCTAGAATCCCCCTAAAATGGCTCCAGGTACCCCCACCCCATCCCCCGTTTCTTTCACCGGAACAAAACGTCTTCCCCTTGAGTGGCACCCCTACAAATATATTTTTCTTGTCTCCTCTTCCAACAGGTGGCTTTAGCCCCTGCCCCGGGACCAGTGCCAATGACTCTGGCGGTGGTTTCGCTTTCTCCTCTCTCAGTCCTGTGAACGAGTGTCCACAGCGTGATGGGCAATCAGGTGGAGAAACTGACCCACCTAAGTTACAAGGAAGTTCCCACGGCCGACCCGACCGGCGTGGACCGAGACGATGGGCCCCGCATAGGAGTCTCTTATATTTTCTCCAATGACGACGAGGACGTGGAACCGCAGCCACCGCCCCAGGGGCCTGATGGCGGAGCGTTGCCGGACTCGGGGGACCGGCCTCCCCTGCCCCCGCCGCAGCCCTATGACCCGCGGCAGCATGAGGTGGAATGCTCAGTGTTTTATCGCGACGAGTGCATCTACCAGAAAAGCTTCGCGCCGGGGTCGGCAGCACTAAGCACCTACACACCCGAGAACCTGCTCAACAAGTGCAGTCCGGGCGACCTCGTGGAGTTTGTGTCGCAGGCGCAGTACCCACACTGGGCTGTCTACGTGGGCAATTTCCAAGTGGTGCATTTGCACCGGTTGGAGGTGAGCAACAGCTTCCTTACCGATGCAAGCCAGGGTCGACGTGGCCGCGTGGTCAACGATCTGTATCGCTACAAGCCACTGAGCCCCAGCGCTGTTGTGCGGAACGCGCTGGCCCACGTGGGCGCCAAGGAGCGCGAGCTCAGCTGGCGCAACTCGGAGAGCTTTGCCGCCTGGTGCCGCTATGGCAAACGCGAGTTCAAAATCGGTGGCGAGCTGCGCATCGGCAAGCAGCCCTACCGTTTGCAGATTCAGCTCTCGGCCCAGCGCAGCCACACTCTCGAGTTCCAGAGCCTGGAGGATTTGATCATGGAGAAGCGGCGCAACGACCAAATCGGACGCGCGGCGGTGCTGCAGGAGCTCGCCACGCACCTTCACCCGGCTGAGCCAGATGAGGGCGACAGCGAAGCGGCTCGGACTACACCGTCTCCCCTGCGCCTCCCTGCACCGGGCTCCGAGGAGGAGAATGGAGACTCGGTGGTGCACTGATATTTAGCCTAGACTCAGAGCTGCAAAAGGGAGCTGTTTGCAACGGCCGCGCCCCCTTCCTCCCCACCCCACCCTCTTCGCCTGGGCCTCATTTGATATTCCTGGGCCTTTTGGAAAACGCAGAGTTTGTGAAAAGCACAGCCGACTTTGAACGGGGGAGGAGGAAGGGGACGAAGGGAGCAGGTAGGAGCACTTTGGCTGGTAGGTGGCCATGGGGAGCATTTTCTTTCGGGGGGAGGGGACCTCCGTCTGCCTTCCTTTCTGAGTTGAGGTAAAGTGTGAACTTGCTTGGAGTTTCAACCCTGACAGATCTGGGACCAAATTCACCCTTCCTTATACAAACAGGCTTGGGGAATTGCGGAGTAACTGTGCCCTGCATTTGGCCTCTCTGTGTCCCTCCCTACTTTCTGCTTGGAGGATGCAGGGTACAAAGGCCGGAGGGGGTTGGGAGGCGCCGCCGCAGGGCAGCTGGAAGAGCTGCTTATCTGCTTCCCCCCACTGAGCTGTGCTTAGGATCCTAGAGGCTGGAGTGATTTATTTTATGGGTTCCTGGGGCACAGGGCTGCTGAAACCACGAGATCTGGGAGCAGCAGACCGAAACCAAACAGCCCCCTTATTAAGTGCAACAAATACTTTGGCAAACTCAGGCTACAGGCTACAAACAGAATCTTCTACCTCTGTTCCTTCCATCCCTAAGTACCTCCTCTTGGGAAGCCGGCTCTAAGCAGAGTCTGGCTCCCAACCCTTTCCTCGGTTACAAGTAAATCATTGTCAAGGGCCAGCCAGAGAAAGGATTCAATTAAGGTGCCTTTCTGCTGCCTCCGTTTTTGGCCTGCTGTTGTGGACTCTTAGAGCTCTGGCGGTGTTATCAAGGGAGGCAATAGCCCTTTGTGTCTCTGATCTAATTAAACCTGCTTGGCACGTTCATCTGCAGGTCACAGATGGGGTTGGCTTGTGCCACCCCATAAAATATCCTCTAGGGAATCCACCAGTGATGCCCTGGCAAGAATTAAATCTCCCCCTTATCCCCTTGCCGATGGTGAGAGTAACCCTGTAAAAATAAAGCTGGACCTAGGATTCTTTTTGCTTTTTGTTTTTCTCTTCTTGGTCCACCTTCCTCACCATGGCTTTGTTCTGCCTGGTGGTAACAGACGGTTGCTGTGGTCTGGTTAGGATTAGGTCTACTTTGCCATCCATGGTTGAGAAGTTTCATTCAAGATGCAAAGTCTTGTTATATGGGACTCAGTTTGTCGGTGACTTGAGAGTGATGACATGAATCACACAGGTTTTGATTATGGTCCCAAATGTAGGTTGGTGATGCTGGAATGTGTTGGTGGTTGATTGACAGTTAGCAATTGGGTCTGCTGCTGAACTCACTCCCATGCACTTTAGTGCAAGGCTTTATGATGGCTGCAGCCTGTCCCCTAAATTGTGGGCAGGGCTTTTACAGCAAAGTGCTGTCAACTGCTCTCAAAATTTGAGCATGGTTAAAGGCCTTTCCTGCCTCCTACAGTCATTGTACTACACTGGACAAGTCATTTATGACTTAGTTCTTACCCACTGGAGCAGAATCTTACTCGAGTGCCCTGAAGCCATGGCCATTCTTGGGATCCTTGCTTAGGAATCTCTAAATCCCACTCTTTTTTTTCAGACATAAAAGTTGATATGCTATTTTTTTTAAAGCCTAGATCTTCATAGTACCTCAGCATGAAACTTTTTCATTATAAAGGCATTAAATAAATCTCCTGCTTTCATGGTGATTTACCAAACAAGTCCTTGTTCCTTTGAATGTTAAAGATGTGTATACACCAGCCATGGTTTGGGACATTGCGGGAGAATCTGTTTCTGATGGGAATGTAGATCTGATTTCTGTGTACTCATAGCTATTTGTTTATATGGCCTTGTTCTTGAAACAGCAGAACAAGATACACACAGGCGATGACATTTAGGAAAACCTATGTCTAACAGATTTCGGTTAGTGAACAACAGGACAACAGGAGGGGAAGGATCAGAACAGCTGTCCCCAGTGGTTTTGGAATAGCCAACTCTTCCTGCTCTCCCATCCCTGCCTTCTTCATCATCCCCCCCCTCCATCCCCCACCCCCCAACACACAAACACAGTCTGGTCACACTCAGTGTAGCAGGTGATTTGTATTATACATGGAGTGCCCCCAAAGGAAGAACTCATAGCTTCTTCTACCACACCTGTAGCATTCTTACTTTTTGGAGCTAGATGTTTTCCAGGTGGTATTTTTTGGACTGTGCTGCCAACAATTCAGCTGGGTACCAGTGAAGACAAGTATGTAATACTTAGGAAGAGCTATCCCATTGGAAATCCTTCTAGGGGGCAGAAGGTCTTTACTAGTGGTTCTGAACCTGTGTATCCAGACACTTTGGGGTACATACCAGGTATCCTGGATATCAGATATTTACATTACAATTCATAACAGTAGCAAAATTACAGTTATGAAGTGGCAATGAGGTAATTGGATAATTGGAAGTCACCACAACGTGAGGGGTTGTATTAAAGTGTCTCAGCATTAGGAAGGTTGAGAACTGCTGGTTTGAAGTAAAGCAGCATCAATTTAGGACTCTAAGAAGAGGGTTGTGTCAGCTCTTGGTTTTTAAGACATCCGTGTTGTGGGGGGAAAAAATCATTTCTTTTAATGTCCTGGCAATGGCTACGTTTGGCACTTTAGAAAGCAAAAGTATATTTAATAATTTTTGTTTCTCCTTAGGAATAAGACATAGAACTCTTTTGTACTGTGAATTATGGACGCTCTTTGAAGGAAAGAAATATTGATTCCTATGTTCTTCTGAAGCTGTGGAAGGGATGAGCAGGACCCTGTGGAACACGCACTAAAAGAAACCAGACAAATTCTATTTTCTTACCTGAGCAAATATTTTATTGAGACTGCTTATGTATGTCAAAGGAGCCTACAACTTCGGCTACACAACTTTTTCTATGGGAAGAACTGGTACTTTTGTAGCTTTTATTCCACGTTTAATTTAAAATGACTTTGTAGCAGTGAAATGTCTAGCAGAAGACTTTATTCCAGATCTTGAAGATGATTTTTAGTTTTTATGAAAATGGTTCAGTGGTTCAGCCTCTCAAAGCATCGGTGCTTCTGGGCCTCAGGGCACCCTTGGACAAGAACAACCACGTGAAAACATATTTTTTGGAAGCAAAACTTTAATTTTATATGATATATACTATGGAAAGCTAAGAAAATTTCAGAACGACTTGTTTTTCTTTTTATTTCTTTTTCTTAAAATGGGATCCACTGTGTTGAAGACTCTTGATATAGTATGTGCTTGTCTAGGCATTTTTTTTTTTAAACAAATTAAAAGTGCTAACAGTCATCCGACAGATTTGTTTGGGAAGTTAGATTTTATTTGTGAATTGTTTAAAAATCAGGATAATGATAAATTTGACCGCTTTCATCATCTTTTCATTATGCTGTTTTGTTCTTGGTTCTAATCCTGTGGCCTGTGTAGAAGTCCCATCAGGATACAGACTCCACATGCATTTTGTTTCCCAGAAGATTGTGGAAACCTTAATTTTGTTCGAAGGTTGTATGTTAAGTCCACTTTCTTTCACCACTTCTTGAGGAGGAGGTTCTAGTTTGAAATTGTATCATTTCCTTCAAAATGAAGGGCAGTACTTAGCTAAATAAAAGATTGATGGCACCTTTTAAGCCATTTCCTGTTCACTCTGTCTTATTAAAATAAAAGCTGTCAAGTTCTTTTGAAAAATGTTATGAGGGGTCCCAATAAACCATCTGTTATCAGAGCTCATTGCATTCGTTTCTCCACATACACACCTTTTCTTCTGACATTTTTGATCTTAAGCTGCTCAGCAGTGTACTGTAATAATGTTTGAAAAAATATTAGTGTGTGTCCTCCTTGCGTTGTTCAGGGAATAGTTTAGTGGGTTCCTTTAGTGGTCCAAACTCATGTATTTATCACACGGGAGTTAATCAGCCATTGCTTTATGCTGTCTGTGTTCTTGAAGTGTCTTGAGACCACACATTTTCAAGACGCAGTTTTCAGAAACAATGCCAATGTGGCCAGAAGATATACTTATCATGGAGTCTACAATGGGAAGTTCTGTGTTTGGCAACTTGTGTTGAACTTTCATTGGTTTCACAGCCTCGGGTAAAGCACCGTCCTTTTCACATGGTACTGTTGGCATGGCAACGGATACAGGTGCGTGTAGTTGGGAGAACAAACACGAACACCTAAGAGGGTTCCTTGGAGGCCCCCCAGCCTCTGAAAAGTATCACCACCATCTCAAGAGGTTTCAATCCAGGCTGAGAATTCTAAGTAACAAAGTTGAGTGAGGTGACAAGAAGCCCAAGCAGCAAGAGACCATTTTCTCTACTGGAGTCTCACAGTTCTCCTTATACAAGATGCTTTGGGGAGGGGAACCTAAGGTAGAATTTGTGCTAATTCTTTGGTAGTCTTGGTAGAGGCTGCTGTTCCTACTTTTTCTAAGTGGACTTAGCTTGCCTGATGTAGGAAAATGACATGTTCCGAAGCATTTAAAAGGACCTCTAAAATGAACCGGCTCAGAATAGGTGCAAAAGGTTTCTATTTCCTTTTACTGAGTTCGCTGGGGAAACTGCTTATTAAACAAATATAGCAATTTCCCTGGGGAATAAATGCACTTGCAGTCACAGTAAGGGTACAGTCCTGAGCATTATGAAGGGCCAGAGGATGTTGAGCCCAGCCCTGCATCAGTCTGAAAAAAAAAAAAAAAGAAAAGAAAAAGAAGAGAAAAAAAAAAAAGGAGAGATTCTTTAAAGAAGAATGATGCTTATTTGGGACTAGCAATACATGTGCCACGCTAAACTATGAGTGAGCTCAAACAAGTTGAGGCCAAGGGGAGGGCCTAAACACAGGGTTTGAGAAGAGTGGTTGAGCAGACAGTTGCCAGGCAGCTGCCCCTTAGAGTTCGTTTGGTCGAAGGTTCCATGGCTTCTGTGTAAGCTTGTGGTATTGGCAGAGTCTTTTGCCCTAGAGACTATCAGAGACTCACATAATAACTAGTCATGACTTCCTGGCCAAGAGACTCCATTTTGACTCCGATATAATTTTCATCTTTCTCGCTAGGAGTCAGAACACAAGGAATTTAAAATATATGTATTTTTATTAAAATATATATGAAATGGTCCAGTCCCTGAACTTGTTGGTAAAGGGAAATCATTTATGTGGGACAGGCAACAATAGAGATGGTTCTGCAAAAGGCTGTCCTTTTATAGGTATATGAATAAAGGAAACACGCATGTTTAATAGTTTGCAACTGGCAGAAAAGAAGCTTGTCATAGAATCAAACAGAAACACAGGTACAAAGGATAGAGATCATGAAGTCACCAACAGAGCTGATATTTACTAAGCTCCCAGCTGGGAGGCTCCTCAGTTCCCATAGCGTACCTAAAGTACAACAATGAAGTATATCCATAGTCACGTCCATTTAAATAAACAAGACAGGTAACAACAAAATGATAGAAGTATTTGATCATAGCTGTGATGGAGTTCAGGGAAGATGTCATGTGCAGATGAGGTGCTCTGCACCTGTGAGTCAGAATGCTACATACATGTCAAGAGGCAGAGGATGGATCATGCACTTGGGAGCGAGTGCAGACACTTTCATCAAGGCAGGAAGACTGGAGAGTAAAAGAATAGACTTAGTGCTCTCAAAATACCTTTGTTCCACCTGCTGGTACTCATGGACTTCTCCAACTCATTCATGAGTTCTTTTGTTCCTCGGAGCAGAATAAAGGCAGTGACTGAATGGCTGGATTTGTATCAAGTCGGGTTTCGCTGGATCAAACGTTCCATCATCTCACGGTGGCTTTTTAAGAGGCCTGAGGGTGGACAGCCAATGACTGACAGAGCTGGAGTCCTTTGAATACTAAGCAGGCCTTAGATTACTAGGTTAGGGAGTAGAGTGTGGATTCATGCCTCGGCCCAATGCAGGAGAGTAGACACGCGGGTGGACACGGCTAGATGAGAGGGAAATAGCAGGATTTACAGTCTTGGACTCATTACTGGGGAGGAGGGAATTGCGTTCAGCTGGTAAGCCGCTGCTGTGAGCTGCTAGTGCTGTAATGATCTCACAAGTGGTCACGAATGGCTCCAAGGATGCTCTCTAGACTACGTCCTTTGGGAAGCATAGAACTCAATCAAGTCGCAGGGTGGCTCTCTCACTATTCAGTACATTCTTCTTAGTCTTGTAACTTAGGATGCTTCCCTGAGGGAAAAGGCCTGCCTGGACACAAAGTATGTTTGAGACTTCGCAGTCAAAGGACCTGCATTTTTCTACTGTGGCCTCTGCTTATTAGCCCGTGAAACAAGGGAGAAATTACATACTTCCTGGAATACTAGATTTCTTCTTTTGTACAATGCACTATTTCAGTCATATTGTATAATAATCCTCTGTGTATATGACATTGTAGCATTTAATACTTATAATAACAGACGTTAGTATAAACATTAATATATATACATTATAATTAATATACATTTGGACTATATTTATCTTAATGTCAGTCATAAAGGCAAAATGAAACAAGTCCTTAGAGTCCCCCAACAATAACAACTGGAATTAGGAAGGAAAATTCAGGCCGTCACAGGTAGCACACTTGGTAGAGTGCTTTCTGGGAAAACATGGCCGCTGAGTTTGGATTCCCTGGACCCACGTGAAAGCTGGCTGGAGCAGCGCATCCCTTATCTGTAATGCCCATGGGTTATAGGTGGATTCCCGAAGCTCGCTAGCCAGCCAGTCTAGCCAAATTGGCAAGCTTGAGATTCAGCAAGAGAGAGTGACCTATAAATTAATGTGTACAGTAATGGAGGAAGATGCCTAGCATCAACCTTTGGCCTCCACATATGCATGCAATCAGGCACAGATGCGTGTGCACTTGCACACACACACACATACACACACACGCGCACACACACACACACAGAGGAAGGAAATTGTGGGTTATTATATATTCTAAATCCTTACTCAAGTTACTGTCTGGGAGAGAAATTTTCCCTTTAGGTTTGGAGAATTTCTTTTCAGGGAGAATTATTTAAAAAATTAATTCTGCAATCATATAATTAATTATCAAATTAACATAGTAATAATAATTGACTGATTTTTCATAAAATATTCTCAAAACTACTTTCTTGTATTTGTTTTAGTACTAGCAAGATTTATTTAATATTTATTACATATTTAATATTAGAAATATTTAATATTAGAAAGCAAGGCTGCAGGCAGGTGATGGTGGTGCATGCCTTTAATCCCAGCACTTGGGAGGCAGAGGCAGGCCTATCTCTATGAGTTCGAGTCCAGCCTGTCTCAAAAAAAAAAAGAAAAAGACAGAAAGAAAGAAACCGAGGCTGAGAGTGAATGGAAAAAAGGAAATAGTAAATTCATTTAAATTTTCTTTATTTTGGAAAAAAAAAACATTTAAAGAGATTGTGTGCTTCTGTTTGCTTTCAGTATTGCTATATTTAATACTATTTTTTTCCATTTTCTTTCCATATCAGAGTGTTTCCCTTTGCTGCCCTGCTCTCTTTCTGGTCAGTGCGTCAAAGACTATGGGACATAGTCTCACTGGACATACATAATCTCTAGGAAGGGAGTCTTTTACTTATCAAGCTTCAGAGTTGTTTGTCCATAAATCCATAAAGCGTTAAATGGTGGTTGTTTTTTGTACTGACATACATTCTGAAATATTGAATTATGTTTATGTTAACAGAGAGCTTTTGGGTACCACATCAGCAACACCTAACTCCTCCGAGCATCACAGTGGCGCCCTTGTCTTGGTCTATGAGCTCACTCTGACGCATCATTAACTCTCTAGCCCACAGTTTACATTAAGGCTCACTGTGTGGGGTGTGCTCTACAAACTTTGACTGCTGTAGCCACCATTACAGCTTTTACCCCAGTCTCTCTTCCTTCATCTCCTCCTCCTCCTCCCCCAGGCTGAGCAGTTTTCAGCTCCTCTTATTCACCTATTCATCCTTAATAGAAACTTCCCTGTAAGCCACCTGGCTTTCCTCAACAGTCCCGATAACATTCCTGGCTACAGGGGTGTTCACTCATTCTTTAGGAATTCGTGAGACCTGCCAGGCCTGGACCACCAGGAATCTTGCATGGTCCAGGTGCACGCCTACATTCCACGAGAGAAGACAGACTGGCTTGTGACAGAGTGTAATGAGGGGCCAGGCAGGCCCCAGGCATAGGAGCAGTATCACCTTGTTGGGGGAGGATCCCAGGAGAAACTTCTAGGGATGGCTTAAGGGCTGGAGATCTTATCAGTCGACAGCCTGATTC